AGAACTTAAAATTTTTATTCAAGCACATGATAATTTTTCACTTGAGGAAAAAGGTTTATTGAAATAATATGTAAAACTATATTAAGAGGATATCAAAGTGTTTGTCTCGACATACAAGCTAGAGTAAACCACCCGTAAAAGGCTTTTTACGCGTCCCGGATCTGTTCAGCAAATGTTTAACATTTCAACAGAGTGTAGTTTACACCATTATCTTTACATGACTAGTGAGACATGAATTGCTTTTGTTGTTTCGTCCAATTCATAACTAGAATAGTTCTTACGCAAACTAAATTAATTAAATTATAATTATTTAATGAATAACTTAATATATATAATATATAACTTAATATATATATATTAACCATACGTAACCATTCGGCGTACAACTATGCTTCAATATAATAAATAACTTATTTTAGTTCAGGAAAATGGTTTAGGGAGAAAATAAATTGTTTGTGCCAAAAACAGGAAAAACCTAATTACTAAATCATAAAACCTCCGATAAAGCCTCGTTCCCATAGTCTGATTATCCTGGTCTTGCAAACTCGTTCAAATAATTGTAGGTTTTTGGTTTGATGTACCGATTTTAAATATTAAGGTAATTACAATTATTTAATGAATATCTAAATATACCTTTTGAACTTATTAGGCCTACCTTATTTTCTCTATTTAGGCTGTCTAAGGTAACTTAAGGCATCGTTTATTTTTTTTTATAACCGTAGATAATACGTGGTCCCAGTTTCAGAAAAAAAAACAATTAATCAATACTTACAACTCCAATCCAGCATTAAGGTGACTGTTAATTAAAAAAGTTTGTGAACTATATATGCTACAAGAGGTCAGGTAACAAACTTATATCTCATTTCGAAACCATGACATAGAGATTAGATGCTTGCATGTAATTTAACGAGGAAAAGTATACTAATCCACGATAAATTGGAAAAGTTTGTAAACGATTTTTGGGGAATGCCGAGAACGTTTTTCTAATCTTATATAAACACGGCAATAGTTATCGATAACTTCCCTAACAGTATAATGACTCTTGAATGAAGTGTAGTCGTATATTCCTACTTATATTTTGTAGGATTGGATGTCTATATATATATATATATATATATATATATATAGACATATATATATATATTTATAGAACTGTTCACGATAATATTATTTATCATATTGTTGTATTCTCTGTTCGTGATTATCGAGAACACATTATACAATGTGTGTCTAGCTCAAATACAACCATATTTTATGTATAAGCAACATAAATGTATACACGTGCTGAATACCTAAATTGTAAGTCTTTAGGTTGTATGCTATCTGCAACAGATTCAAAATCGATACACTTAAGTTAATATTTAAAAAGTTTATTTAGGTCCATATTGAATACTGCATTACTAGTAATTACTTTAAAACGAATTGTGGCGTATTCAGAAAGTCAATATTTAAAATATTTAAACTAAACATTAAACTATACATACTAAACAATTATTTATAAATACCTCCTACCTGCAGACTTAGCGGATTTGCATTCGTTTGGTAATATTTTTATCCAAACATTTCCTAAAATGTAGGTAATTAATGTATTACCTAACTTACCTTAAAAGAGTACTACTCAGGTTTGCTGCTATAGAGAAGGTAATTTATTTAAACATTAACTATTTGGCATGAAATAAGTAAATTTTCCAAAGTTGACCACAATTAAACAAGAAAACTACAACAGTTAACATATTCACCAAAAGTAACATAACGTTACACTTTTATAGAGTTTACCCCGTAACCATTCGGCGTACAACTATGCTTCAATACAATAAATAACTTCTTTTAGTTCAGGAAAATGGTTTAGAGAAAAATTACATTGTTTGTGTCAAAAACAGGAAAACCTTATTACTAAACTATAAAATATCTTATTAAGTCTCGTTCCCAGTCTGATCATACTGGCTCAGAAACTCGTTCAAAGGTTGGTTTTGCGTACTGAATTTCATCAAAATCGGATGGCTTTTACTGGGGTTCTCGTGATTTCGTACATAATTATAAGTCAATAAGATTGTAAAAGATTTTTTTTCGAATGACAGTTCAATAGGCCTATTAATTAGATTAAATCTATATAGTTAAAAAGCTTCTATGCTAAAGTATACAACTCCATGATTATGAGTAACAGTGTGTGGTTTTAAACCCACTCAACCTTTACTACCCTCATATGCTTTGTGATGTCGGTGTTCATTAGACTAAAGTTTAGACTTGATAAAATCAGCCTTATTGACTAGTTGGCATCCAGGAAGATGTTAAATGAAAATTAATGTTAACTTACATCTTCGTTTTTAACCATTGTCCCATCAAACCCTGCAAAACTCGAATTCAAACTTATTTAAATTCAACCACTCTTTGTAGATTGTCTGTACTATCAATTCAGCTGGACTTTATAAAATAAATACCGGAAACTATTGTGCTGTTGTAACCATATCAAAATTCGACTATTTAAATGCCATGCACAAAAACAACTACAAACAGTTAGTTTAAAATTTTTGCCAGCACAATAAACTTATGGACAATGACAAACCTATAACAACGTGGAGTGCAAACCGAACTAACACAATAAACAGATTTCTCAAATCGTGTACGATTATTTTATGTACCATTAAACCAACCATATCCTTGGCCGCAATCAACCTGTTAATACTCGGGCCGCAACTCGTACAAAACTTTTTTCAGTCTGGGCTGCAACTCATACGCAAAATGAGATTTGAACTACTAATCACAAATAAAATTGTTTAAGTGATAGTGAAAATAACAGAAACTTAAGTCAATAGATATGCTAAATATCTCTCGTGGTCAATGTGGCTAAATAGTATAGTCTGTCAAAATTAAATTGTGTCTCCCTTTAACAGATGAAATTTTTTTTTAGAACATAGCGACGATATTAAGGGTTTTTTCTAGTTTGATTTTTGAGTGAAAAATATAGTATGTTGTAGCATTCTAAACAAACTGGTACGACTCCCATTTCTGAAAAAATTACGGTTCAAAAGCTATTGTAACCTTTGTGATTTTTAACTATAAAATATCATATTTAGTCTTACCGCTTACCCATGATAAAGGTTGTTGCCAAGCTTATGGGAGAAAGTATGTGTCAGAACGCTGATACTATTATTTTATTAGTGAAAGGTTCAAATCCTGTTCTCTACGACCTTGGACAATTTATTATTAATAATTAATAGTTCAATTACAGATGGTATTTGGATAACGTAACGGTCTGCTTCCACGAAGAGTGAATCTTGATACATTTCGATACTTTCTCACTTCCAGAGAGGTTATTTTGATGGTGTTGCTCAAGCAGTATCTAACAATCTTATACTAAAACATATTTTGATTAATAAAAAATCGCAGTGATACGATAACATATGTTTCAATAGTGATCTTGTTTATTAGAAAAGAGATGAAAACTTTTAAAACTAGAATAATATAAAATTAACAGTTTTAAGGCTGTAGAGCAAAACTAAAATACCCTCACCGCAGAAAACCTGCTGACTAAGCGAATTTCCATCTGTCTGAATTAATTTTCAATTTAATCAATTTAAATAACATTCGGTTTAACGAGTACCTAGGTTTGCTACTACAAGGAACTAAGAAAATGTGTTTTTTGTAAAATATTAATAAATTAGTATAAAATAAATAAGTTTATTTATATTTTTGTTTATTTAATAAACAAGCAAACTACAACATTTTACAATATTCTCCATAAGAATAACATGGGAATTTTAAATTTACAATTTTTTGCATTTTCTCCGTTACCAATAATTGTACAAAAACACTTTGATATACTAAATTATTTGTTTTTTTTAAGCTCTTTAAAAAGGTCTAGAGATAGAATTGGGAAATTTTGTGTTTTGAGGGTCAAAAATGAGAAACTCCTATGTTTACCCCGTAAAACCCCGATCCCATGGTTTGATAATGCTGGTTCGCGAACTCATTCAAGTTTATCCCACCTTACACCTTTAAACCAATTTCATCAAAATCTGAAAAAAATTACTCAATTTATGTCGTTAACGGACACACAAACACACACACACACACACACACATATATATATATATATATATATATATATATATATATATATACATATATATATATATGTACACATATAAGTCTATATATATGTACGCCTTATTTGTTGGCTTTGATAGTAATCCAAAGCTTGGACTGAAACTGATAACGTTCAATAAAGTTGATTAAGTAATTGTTAATGGACTGGACGTGTGTCAATTTTGTTTTTCTTTGGTTGGCTGATATGTTTGTTATTTTGTTGTTTTATGGTTTAAATGATTGACTTGTTCACAATTTGTTTGTCTTGTAGTTCACCTACGGCCTTTAACATTTTAGTTAGGGATGTGGGGTGACCACTATGCTTCCACGCTCGTCTGGGGACGGTGTCAGGAGCCGGCTCAACAGGTGTCAATGAAAGGGACCCAATATTTTCTTCACTCCACAGCATTTCATCATCTAGTGACGACGTTAAAAATTTCCAATAAACTGAGTGCCAAAACCTCACATCCCTCACCCTGCTACTAGCACGTGCCACAACCATACAACGTGCATGCATCTAACACGGTGCTACTGGAATTAAAAATGCTAGTTACACCATGCGATCCATATGTGTAATCCCGCCTTAAGTTGTTATTTTTGATTATACCACACATATTGGAAATATCCAAGAGGTTTTCATTAAAATGAGTAACAAGCAATTTTTAAGGTTTCAAGTTATGACTGAAATTCCTACAGCGTTACGAAATTAGGTTAAAAAAAAAAAAGTAATTTTTGCTTAACAGGTATTGCTGTAATTTTAATTTGTGTTCACAATAAACTCCGTAGAAGTGGCGGTTGGATGTATGCAAATCGTAGTATTGTCAAGATTAAACTATTCATTTCACTTAATACAATGTTCTTCAATGAAATACTACTAATACTTTCTGTATGAAAATTGGATTATTACTCACAATATTTTTTTAAAAAAGTAGTTGAAGTATACATTTTCTATATTTTCCTTGTCATCTTTTATTAATATCCTTCAATACTCTACACTCACTCTATTCAATCCAAACCAGGATAAATCGTGCGACCTAGCCAGCCTTCGACGAACCTTTTAGCAGTAATCCCCACCTTACCTGCGAATCTTCCTAATTGCTCTGTAACGGTCTTGGGTAAGATTTTTCCCATTTTTTGTAAAAACCTTGTATCTGCCGCTTGAAACTCTCGGAAGGCCGCGTCCTTGTCACCGGTTTCTACATACTTCTTCAACACTTCAGCGTACTCATCGTCGTGGGATTTTGCAGCTTCGTCCACTTCGTTAGTTGGAATGCCATTGTAAACTTCATTGCCTGGACCGAGGTAGTTAAACCCCGGAAACAACAGTTTTATGCCAGTGAGGTGTTTTGGCAACCTCCAATATGTATGATTTTTGGTTGAGCGAGTTTGGTTTGGTACTCGAGAAGAACTATCAAAATAGTCCGTCGTTTCAAAGTCCGAAGGTGGAGACGTTGAGGAAAATGTGGGCTCAAAGTCGTGCAACCGTGTCGATGGTTTACCTGAATAACCTATCGTTAGTTCGTCAATTTCAAACCCTCCTCTCTGTTGGTGCAAGTATTCATCAATGTGATCAGGTGTCGGTTGAACTTCTTGAAAACTGAGCGTGTTTGGGTCAAAGAAAAAACTTCTCTCTGTTATCTCTATGTAGGGTTCCGTAATTTCTGGTCCACCTTGTTCTAAAATTACTACAGTCTGGACTATCCGTGTTGCATCATCCATGATTTATTTCATCATTGTTCATGTTAAAACTTGGAATTTGAAACTTGTTAGCCTGCCATAATTTGGATTACTATAGAAACATATTTGATTTTCCACCAACAATTTCTATCATGAAACGACAGTTAAAAAAACTGCATGGCCATTGAGATACTCCTCAGATCATTTCATTCATGTAAACAGGTTTTTAGCATCAGTTTTACTATCCAAACACTCATTTTCGTTTAGAATATCTGTAGAAACAATAATTCTACAACTTCCTTCGACAGTTATCACTCTTGTGTACAAGAGCTATTTAGATATTAACTTAATTAAATAGGGACCTATCGTCTTAAAAGATATAAAATCAACATATGTGCACACAAATATGAGTAAAACATATTATAGAGGTTATGTTAAATTTAGATGAACCATAATTTTACTTTGAGAAATATTTATATTGGTACCAAATACTGTTATAGTTGTTAACTTATCAGGGATTACACTATATGAACTAACAGAAGTTTTACCATTGAACACCTTTTCTAGCCTTGCTCTATAGCCTTAAAACTTTCAAATTTGGACTATTCCAGTGTCAAACGTTTTCATCTCGTTTCCAATAACAAGATCACTATAGAAACATATGCTATCATTTCCCTGTGAATTTGTTTTTAAATGAATGAAAATATGTTTTAATGTAGCTATTTCGATACTGCTTGAGCAGGACCATTTATCCAGATACTTTTCATTGAGCTATTAATTAATAATAAATTGTCCAAGGTCTAAGAGACCAGGATTTGAACCTTTCACTAATAAATGAAATAAAATCCCTTAATATAGCAGAATTCTCATATAAAAACAATGATTGGGATAGCAAGTTCCCGCAACAATGCTCCAAATGACTTGGCGGGCTTATGACAGATTACAAAAAGAAAAAGTATGTAGGAAAAAGTATCGTTGGTTCAAATCTGCGTGAATTGATAACTTCGGAAATCGATTTAATAATGTCATATTTTCTAAATAATCAAAATAAATCTCGTGTCATCGTACTGACCATCCTGAGTAAATCTTTCAACATACCCGATTTAAAGATAAGCATATAGGCCTGTAAGAATCTTGGTCATTCCTAGAAATGTCTAGCTGATTTTCAAAGGAGAAGGAAGGCAAGTCTAATTGTCGTACTAAAAACCTAATCCATATTACGTCTGTTCAAGGGAGACACAATTTAATTTTGACAGACTATACTATTTAGCCACATTGACCACGACAGATATTTAGCATATCTATTGACATTATTGTATTTTTATTGTATTTTACTTTACATTATTAGTATTGTATTTTACTTGCTTGTGGATATATTCTGGTTGAATTTGGCAAATTTATTTATTTAATTCCAAACAGTTAAAGTTTCAATAAAACCACGCCCTATTACCTTCCCTGTTGTAGGAAACCTGAGTAGTATTCTTTTAACGTAAGATAGGTAAGAAATGAATTACCTACATTTGAGGAAATGTTTAGGTAAAAATATAACCTATCAAATGCAAATCCGCTAAGTCTGCTGGTCGGAGGTATTTTTAAATAACTTTTTGGAAAGTATATTCAAATATTTAATTTAAATATTTTTAATCTTGAGTCTCTGAATACGCCACAATTTGTTTTAAAGTAATTATTAGTATTGCAGTATTCAATATGGACCTAAATAAACTTTATAAAGATTAACGTAAGGGTATAGATAGCATAAAACCTAAATACTAACAATTAAGGTATCCAGCACTTGTATACACGTATGTTGCTTTGCTGAAACGGCCGTAACAAGTTGATAACAAATCAGGAGCTGGCTGACGAAGGTAAAATTTCAATTTAGTTATAGAACCAGCTCAGGGGCTAGAAAATATGGATTATAATGGAGTTGTAAGTATTGATTAAGTGATTTTTTTCTGAATCTGGATCCTCATATTACCTACATTATTTATCTACTTATTGAAAAAAGTCTTAAGTTTCTCTAGGCAGCCTACATAGAGAAAGTAAGGTAATAAGTAAAAGCAGAATTGCATTTAATTGCAAATTAATAACAACCGTGTTAGAAATAAACAATAAATATTATAAATTTGTTATTATATTGTAATTTAATTTAGTTTGTAGAAGGAACTATTCTTGTGATTAATTAAACTGAACAACAAAATCCCTTCATGTCTTACGAGACATATAAACATGACGGTGTAAAATACACTTTGTTGAAATGTTAAACATTTGTTGAACAGATCCGGGACGTGTAAAAAGCCTTTTACACATGGTTTACTCTAGCTCGTGTGTCAAAACAAACACTTTGATATCTTCATAATATAGTTTTACATATTATTTTACTTGATAATCTTTTTCCTCAAGTGACATAATGATCATTGAACATTTTAAATTCTTAAATTATGTTTTACAGTAAATGTACTTTAAAAAATTATACAATTACTACATTTTAATACATTAGCTTGGAAAATAGCTTTTACCATGGTTAGGTATACAATTAATTAAATTGTCCTAAGTAAAGTAATTGCCCTACATACGAAAATACTATTATCGACGGTTATAAAAGAGTAACTATACTTGGAATTGACTACTACTATCACAAACAACATGACATGACTATTAAACTAGTACGGTTTATGCTAGTAGTAATTGACCTACACTCGTAAGCCTCGATTTCAAAAAGTTTGACTTTAATTGTTTTCTTTATTAGGCTATAACGTAAAATGTTGATCATTAAAACCTTTAGAGTTCCATGGTAAACATTATGATACTTGGTTTTTGGAAAGTTGAATTGTTTATTTGATTTAATGATCAAAATCAAAATTGTGGCACTGTTGTACTTGTTATTACTCAATCTAATTATATTTTTTATCATATATGCGCTTGTAGAAAAAATTGGCTTTGAAATTTATAAATTTTCTTCCGAATTTAAAAATATAAAAACTATTTTATTTGACAAAATAAAGTTTTCATATAAAAAGAAAATGATTAAAACGAATACTGACAGCAACGGTTATTTGAATATACTATCAGTTTATTTCAACCATTTAAATGTATATATACCATAGACAGTTTCTGAATCATGATGTCAAGGTAATTTTAATCTTGACCGTTATTCTGGCTTTCTTGTTGTAAGACGCATAAATTGGAATTTTTCACACGATAAAAGATGCAGCTGGAACTTGAGACAAGACTTGTTTCGGTTTTCCCAAGCTATAAAACGTATAAGAAACCAACAACTCCATGATTTTACGCAAGGTACAGAAAACTGTAATATTATTCTTGGATGTTTTCAGTGCTTGTTACTTGTTCATTTTATATTTTAATGGATATTTTCCCTCCACTTCTACCGAGCCTGAGAGGTGTTGAGGTTTTGGGTTCGACCACCGACAAATTGGTTTCTCTTGTTAGGCGGCGGCGAAGCGAGTGGTTTGATCGAGGTAGATCTACTGACCTAGATCTCATAATGTACAACTTTTTTACAGTTTGTTAACATAGGTCGTACAATTAAAATCTCTTTGTATAATTCAATAATACGATGGCATTTTATTTTAACTGATTGTTTATAATAAAATGTGTAATTTATTTAACAGTTTATTTAAATATGTTTACTAATTAATTGTCTTAACGCGCTGTAATTCTTCGATTCGTAGTCTTATGTGGGTACGACAGCAGGAAATTTACTAATTTGATTACCGCAATAAGAACCTCAATAGATCATATTTTAAATTATGTTAAAACTCACATTCAGTAGGATAGTCAACAGGACAGTCGTCGCCAATCCTTTTTCACAAGAACGTTGTAAATAATGTGTCCTCATTAGATATATTAAATCAAAATTTTAAAGTGGATTGAATAAAATATCTAGATATGTAAATAAAGAATGGCGGATTTGTAAGGGAGCAAGAACTCTTAGCTTATGGTATTACTGTATTTACATTTTGGTCTTGACCTAAATATAATAACCCAAAACTATAAGTATTAATAAGTATTCGTATTTTATATATTTTTTTTAATTTTGAATAATTGTATTTGTATTTTTTAAATTCTTCCAAGAACAGTTTACCATTATGAGTTCCATTGTGTCACACAATAGAGTGGTAAATTAATCTGAATTCCTTTAAGGGAATGTCCTTTGTTTAGATCAGCATCCGACTGTGTCTGAAGCATTGTCTACCGTTTGGGCCAATTACTCTACTTTATGACTTGCCAGTGTTGTATAAGTATTTGGTAAGGTTATTCCTTTAACATTTATGCAATATTTAGCTTTACAAATATAAAACAGAAAAAAAAAATCTATTTTGGTTAAACATTTAAAATATTGAATTCGTAGAATGTTTCAGCGACAAGATTATGATAATTTATCTATATTATGCTGATAAATTTATTGGGATCTGTAAAAAAGGCATTTTTTGCCTAAATATTATTTCAATTTAATAATTTGTTTTGCTAATTTATTTTTGTAAAGTAAACGTTTTAAAACACCGTAGTGGAAAAAGGCGTTTAAGAGAAAGACGTTGTTAAGGTTAAAAAAAAATAGTTTTATTGGTTAATATACTATATCAAAATATGATTCAAAAAGAAGTTGAACAAAAATAGGGTGAACCAATTGGTTTCCCATCTCTTTGTCCATTTTTATCAAAGTTCCGTTTCATCTACATATAAATAGTTTGCATCGGCCCCGAGTCCATCTTGCCTGTTTAAGTAAACTAGGGACAAACCGTTAGAATATCTTCATTACATACTGATTTATTCATTTTTCTGATAAATATTAAGGGTAATATTTAGTTATATTATATTTAGTTAATATTTAGTATAAGGGGGAAAGGGGTGGTTGAGCTAACTAAAACGGGTAAAGCTAGATATTTATACAGGGTGTCCCGGAACTCTCTACCAATATTTTAGGGCATTGCTCCTGGGTAAGAAATATACCTTAATATCATATTTAAATTGTCCGGAAGTCCTTAGTTACTCACACAGCCGCCATTTTGTTTTTTTCAGTTATTAATTTTTTTCTAAAGAATGGTTAAACATACGAAATGGAAACTTTGCACAAACATTTATGACAACTAGACAAAGCTACAAAAAAATTATGAAGATTTTTCAAATTCACAAAACAAAATGCCGGCCATTTCAAATTGTTATAAAATCAACGGTTTTTAAGTTAATTAAGAAACAAAATGTTAAATGGGCGCCATTTTGTTTTATGAATTTGAAAAATCGTCATAATGTTTTTGTAGCTTTGCCTAGTTGTCCATAATGTTTGTGCAAAGTTTCCATTTCGTATGTTTAACCATTCTTTAGAAAAAAATTAATATCTGAAAAAAATCAAAATGGCGGCTGTGTGAGTAACTAAGGACTTCCGGACAATTTAAATATGATATTTAGGTATGTTTCTTACCCAGGAGCAATACCCTAAAATATCGGTAGAGAGTTCTGGGACACCCTGTATAACAGAATATAAACTAATAAGCATATTTAAATTAAAATTAGGTATTTTATTTTTAATTAATTGATGAAAATAATTAGTAAC